AGCTCTCTCGAGTTCAGTTCAGTCGCCGCGTCTATCCAAATCACGCTCTTACGCTTACGACGCGCTCCGTTCACGTATATCCAAGCGTTCCATCTATGCGATCGCTTGATCGTTAAGTTAATTATTAACAGAATGCAGCCACAAAAAGAATCGGTGTATTCTTTCTTCCGTTGTATTCTTATCCTTACGGGGGGGGGGGGGGGAAGTAAATGTAAAATATAAATGCCGCGAACTGAGCCGCGTTCGTTAGAGATCGACTGATCAAAACTTCAAATTATTTACGAAACATTCGTGAGTTATCGATCACTGCTGAATACCACCGATCTCTTACGAAGATCATCGGACGTTTCCTTGACTGACGGACGAAAATCATCGATTATCGAGTAGGGTATATTATACGTATATTTTGTAGTCACAGTGCACTAATCGTCATATCATTAACATTCGGATCGAGACAAGATCCAACAACGCCGATTCGAAACTTTCCGATTCGAAAAAACACTCAAAGTTCTAATTTTACTTGTATTTTTTAGCCGTTAGCTCTAAATTTCGAACCGCCAAGGCTGACGAGTGATTTAGCTTGATAAATCTTCTTCTACATTTTGTAAATAAAACGCATGAAAGAAACAAAAATTGTTCGTTCGTGAACGTTTTCGTAGGCAATAACTTATTTATTACGAAACAAGCGCGAGTGATTGTCCACTACCACTACCACTTTGCTGAAAAGAAAAACGATGCTAATTCAATTCGTCGACACAGAGACACTGTAATGATACAAGCGTCGTACAGGCAAACACAAGGCGCGCGCGCACACATGTAGATAATTAAAAAGTAATAATTATTATTGTCAAGTACTACATATGCGTATAAGGCGGTATACAAAGGCGTTACGCAATATACGAGTAACGATTATTAATAAAAACGAAGAGAAAATGATGTTGAACGTGCGAGTATTTTTCACAAACTTTTCACGTTTACGTTTACTTTTTTCAAAACTAGAGCTAATTCTTGACGATTGAGTTCAATTCCTTCCTGCTCCTGCCCCTCCTCCCCCCCCCCACCGCAAAAGAAAGAAAGAAAGAAAGAAAGAATAAAAACAGTTACTTCCTATCGTCTATCCTACTATACTTCCCTCGATTAAACAAACCAAACGAATCGAAACATCAGTTTAATTTACAAAGTAACAAATATAAAAATTCAAAATAATTTAAACGTTATATTACGTGTATCTAGAAATCTATAACTTTATTGTATCAACGAAAGACAACGTCTTAATAATTATTTACAAAATTTGTTGTTCGTATGCCAACTGTTTTCTTCTTTCGAATATTTATACCGAAAATGTGAAAATAAAATTATATTGATAACTACCCACAACCACCTTTACCGCAACAAGTGCGTTTAGGGGGTCGATACCCTCTAGAACTGTCGCCCGTTAATGGATTGTATTCTGCAATAGACAAACAGACGACGTAAGATTTAAATTACTTTCCATTTCCTCTCCATATTTACCTTCTCTTATTGATTTGTGCTTCTTCTCTGTTAAAGGCGGTAAATCGTTGTTCCTCTTTCCTGATCTACTGCTTCTCGCGTTCTCCTCCAACGTCAACTTTGACGTTTCTTTTCTGTTTTCTTTCTGCTGAAAAACAATACACACACACGCACGCACGCGTATATAAAAAATTTTGAATCTTTTCTACAACTGCTTCGTGCCAAATCGTCGCAACTAAGAATGTTCATCTGTTCAAAGTACCTCTGTTTCTTTTTGTCGCGCCAACGTGCATTTCTGATGATATTCTTCCTGCATTTTTTGACGCGAAGCTTCCAAACCTGATAATCTTTCTTGCAGGAGATCAGGATCTGTGAACACGATGAAATTAAATGAGCAAATGACACGCGTGTAATGTCGCTATTTTGTCGTACTTGTATTTACTTTTATGATATTTTGCTGTATATTCCCGTTCGTCCTTCTTCAACTTCCAACTTGTATATTTTTCTCGTATATATGGAGATGCCAACCAAAATGAGATTATAACTGCAATTATATACCATCCGATAGATGCGATAGCATTCCACGCTGTAACGACACGTGATTAAATTTAAACGCTTTTCGTAAAATATTTTTTGGTGATTCGCAATTCTAAGAGAATTAATATACTCGTAATTGATTGTGCTGTCGATGCTACGTTTATACGTACTTGATCTGAAGTAAGAAACTGCAAATTCTCGTCCGAAATAATCCATTTTTTCTTTTTTTTTGTCTTCCAAGTCTACTACGTCACTTACAATTTTCAAAACCGTTACGACAAATTTCAAGCTACAAAAGTTTCCAAACCAATTTAGTAAATCTTACTAGAGAAAGCAAACATGCGATGAATTGGTGTGCAGATGAAATCGTTCCAGTCACGATCTGGCTGTATTTATTCGTATATTCGCATGAATTTTATTTAATAAGATGAGCTAACACGTCTGTTGTTCGTAATTTCACACCCGTTTACAAACGACAATTTAGTGCACCGATATACATATACGTATTACTGCAATATAATTTTACGATAATTTTAAAAATTTCCACAGACACCAAAATAAAAGAACTAAAAATAACTTGTAACTAAACTACTCTCTGTTTATTTTTCTATGTTATTCCTATCTTTGAACTCGCTTGCTCGTTCACGATTTACCCAATTCACACTTACTGAAGTGACGTTACCGCGTAGCGGTGAAACGGTGGTACTAATCAATATTATTATCTTTGTTGCACACTGTTGCATTTCTTATCTATGGATAATTGCTACCACCTATCGGACCTTTATTGGAACTACAGACAAAGCGTGCCATAATAATAACATACACGCGACAAGCACGAGATGCATGCGTTTCAGACAAAAAGTGCCAGATCAAATCCTGCCTGCCTTGCCTGTATTTTACAACATAGCCCGATAGATAGCAGCATCTTTTTACAAGCAGAAAACGATATACGTACGTACTATAGTCTTGTTTCTACAGGATCTACGAATCTATGAAACAAATTTTTATTTACAAAAACAGCCTGTTGAGAGAATTTGCAAATTTTTGTAACTTTTCCGACTTTCTCAATCGAGTGCTAAACTTTCTCTCTCAGTTCCATTTATCTCTCTTCTCTCGTTCAAATAATATCTCGTTTCTTGGAAAT